AGACATTAGACTTTGTGTATTAATCAACTTATCTTTACCGTTCTCCTTATTCGGCCCATCAGGTCGGTTTCATCATTCCCATCTCGGCTACTCCGGTCCCTCTCCCCGGTGGTTTCAAGAAAATGGTTTCAACATCTCGGCTATTGTCCCGCCCCCTCCGCCACGCGACGCCTACCGCAGGAGGATCCGCGCTGGTTCCAAAAGGCTCCAGGCGAGGGCCAAGGTAGCGCGGTCCCAGCATCCAGCGTCTGATTCGTGGATCCCGGGTTTCGCTTCCCTTCCGTGGTTCAGGAATCGCAGTCCTACCCCAGTCCCCCCGGTTCTGACACTCAGCAAAAGATTCGGTGCCCCTGCGTCAGCGCCAGTATTTCGGGATCCAGGTTCCGAGCTCAACAGGACTACTACAAGCTACACGAAAAACAGCACAATGGCCCAGACAGTCACGGTTAAACCCCAGATGTCAGAGTCTTCTGAAAACCCTCACTTCTTGCATGATCGTGATCTTGCAGACGATAAAAACAATACCGCATCCCCGGAGCTAACTGCAGCCCCACCTGTCCAGGTAAAGTCCCCCGAGCCCACAGTGGATAGAATGCCAAACCTAGCCACTGCACCTTTGGGGTCAATCGCGAGGCAAGATCCCCAAAAGCTGGATGCAAGTACTAGGTCTCCTCCAGCGAGACATTGAAGCGTTTCCAGAAATCGACCCTGATGAACTGTTTCTTCAAATGAAAATTTATTAAGCTATCTTCGTTTTTGGGATAGTTCATCCTGGTCACGAATTCTTCGCCAAAATTGACAATTGCCACATTATTGTCTGGTTTTAACGGGTAAAAGTTGTGACATCTGAATCCGTACATTTATAATGATAAAATGTACAGTGTGTCATACCGGTGGTTTACATTCAAACTGTCCAGGGAACTTCAGTTGACATCGGCCTCAGAATCGTTGCTGAACAATTTCCAGCAATTGAAACTGTTAATGTGTAAGTGGTCATGTATAGTTTACTACATTCATATTTCACCCTGTAGATAACTCATTGCAGTCAGATTTGTTACGCGTTGATCTTATTGTTATTAATTTAATCATTTTACAATCTACAAACTTTTAGCTCTTAAAAAAGGTCCAGGTAAATGATCTACCTTTACTAAATGGCCTTAACAGGTAGGTATTCATAGTTGCCATATATACAGCCTTATATTTACATGTGGTATCGCTGGCGTCGTTTGCCCGAAGTCTGTGTCTTTCGGCAGACGTCCAGCTTGCTCGAAGTCCATGGCTCTCGACTCGTTTCAGGCCATGGACCACAAGACCAATTGAAAGATTTGTCTACTGTGTCATTTTAGTAATTTTAAGTTGCCAAGAACATTTTTGTTTGAAATACATTTCAAAAAAGAGAAACTTGATTATATATCAGTAGCCTATGGCCATAGTATTGTGAATTTGGAACATTTTAGAAACTTCAGCTTGCCATCTTATTTCTTACATAAGAATAATACAATAAAATGAGTGACTAATGGATATTTTCATATTTGTACTATTTTAAATAAATAAACATGTATCAAATTTGCTTATTTACCAAATGCAATGGATGTCTTGTACTCATCCTAGACCACAAGGTAAGTCCCAGGGATGGTATTCACGAAAGAGAAATAGACGAAAACTGCCTGTCACATATTTTCGTGGGCAGTCATTGACAAATTTGCTGAGTCAAAGACAGATGAAAATTATCACACCTCAGTAATGACAAATACGACTTTGGATGCCCGTACTGAATTGTTGGCAACCATTAATTGAACCATTTTCTACACATTTTCAACAATTCTTTATATGTAAGTTTCACGGCTGATGCAGTGACAACCCATGGGTGCCCAAATTAATTAAAATATATGTGTAACACTGTCATTATAGGAGTAAGATTTATTGCAATATCTAGTCTACCATAGTGTTGCAATCAAGTCATTTTCACAGAATCTATAACAATGTAAATATTTGTTCTATTACTAGATTTAACTTTGAGATGTGGCAAAGGCGCAAATCATAGACAAAATCCGAAAGAACAGCCATAGACCTTTCGTGAATACCTCCCCAGTAGCTTAAATTAATGTTTTGAGATAAAAGGTATACCAGATACCTATACAGACTTCATGTACTGCTAAAAGTACCTGGATAATTCTAAGGAACTTCATATATATACTTTGTGTAGACGAAATCTATCTTCAAAGGAAAACATACTTCGGTTAGTTCACTAATCAGGTCAAATGAAATGAACATGTCTGTTTCAATAGAATGTAAAAAGATTTATTGTTTTCAATATGTCTATTACAAACACTTTCTGTGATTGACACGAGGGATAGAAAAGAAATATTTCTCTAAATACACGGAAGTCACCAACTTAGGTGTGCTGTATTTCCTTCTATACTTGTACTACAAAAAATAATTTGACATGTGTTGATTAAAGGAGATATTCTGGACAGTATCCTCTTCCCGTGGCACAATATTCAACATGGCATGTTTGGAGTGAAAAGCAGTAAATGCTTGTCCTTGAATATTACAATAGAGGAAATGGAATTGCATGTTAAAAATGCAGAAAATATATATTAAATGACTGGCTCTCACCATTATTTAAGTAAGAGAAAATCATACAGTCTGTTTTGGTGCAGGAACATGTTCACAACACAAATGTAATGACTGTACAACTGACACAAACATTATTAAAAAATTAATTCAAATATATTCAAATTAGAATTAGACTCCAATTTTAACAAATTCAGATGTGGTTCCTCTGGCTCTTTCTTCAGCTGCCAGACACCACCTTTCACAACTCTTCGGATTGCCCTTGTACCACCCTACCTGGCAGTGGTTTCAGCAGTGCCTCCAGATGAAACCCATTTAAATTTTGTGTGTATTTTGTGTTGCAATGCCCCATCCTTGGCAACAGGATACCCTCTTTCAGACAAAATCTGGCAGTACGCACACCCGCGCCGGCTTGACTTCTTAAAGCTAAACAGTGTCATCTAGGCCGCGGCAGTTTTTTGAGACGTCCAGAGTTCGAGAGGAGATGAGGGGTTCATGGTGACCTAAAACTATAATAGGACTCTACATTATGTATTTTTTGGGGAGGGAGAAAGTGGGGAGAAAAAAAGACAAAGAAAATAAAGTTTCTGAATACTGTTTCTTTATAGAACCGTAGAATATGAAAATATGCTTGTGTACATGTGTTCTGTAACTTTAGATGTGTGTGGTGTGGGAAGGAAGCTGTAGAATACTTATAAAATACTTTACACATTTATGTATAACTTCTTGCCTCTTGACTTTATCTCATTGAATTACTATGGCTGCCAAGAAGCCACTGATAATTCATATCCCTGATTACATATATATTTATATATATACACTGTATATATATATATATCTGGTAATAAATAACCAATTAATAGTTATTTCCTATTCAGCTCAAGGAAAATCATTTGGCCTGTGAAGAGCCCACAACAATTTGCCACTGCCACCCACATCTCCCCTCAATCCCGTCTTATACAAGGAAACATCATTATTAACAAAAACATTATCAGATCATCTGTACAACTATAAATTATAATTATCATTCACTTGTACAACTGGCTCACTCAGGAGTCCACTCTCTCGGTCCCAGCAACAGTACATTAGAAAGGAGTTGTTGCAAAATTTAGTAGCAAGTTTGTGCTGTGGAGACCATGCAGTGCAACGGATGGTGAATGGGGCAGTCCCTTGAGGGCAGATTCTTGTCACTGGGATGCTTCAATGCTGCAGCTCGCATTTACATTTTAATACTACATTGTACTGACAGGCATTCGTGAGGCACATCAATTGATTTTTTTCTTTTATTTTTTACTTTTTTTCTTTTTTCTGCATCATAACTCGAAATGTTTTGGTCTTCTCCAGTCTTGCAACTTCCACAGGAATCACTCATAATAACTGATGCATTATGATGCATAATATACAGAACACATGCTCAACACTTCATTGCAACCTGAGACAGTGTATTATTCAATCTGTCTCTTCCCACCCCAACACCACTCCTTGCCTCCGTGCTGCGACTTGCGGTCCACACCACCATCCCTGCTACAATCTTGTACTTTGAGGTGACGTCCACACACCTTTGCTCTTAGAGCAAAGTTAAAAGTCACAGCTCACAGTGTGGGATTTTGATCCTCCACTGACACTCATTCTGCCCGCCCTTTTAATCAGTCTGACAATGGCTGAGTGAGGCGGTGAGGTGAACACCACATGTTATGACCCACCACTCTCTTCCAGTTCACACTTGTACTTGTTGTAGGGTGCAAATGGGGGTCGGGAAGGATCGTCAATGCGCACTACTCTCGTGCAATTTGGCCGCAACCCATCTGTGTGCCCCAGGAACCAGTCAGTAGCAGCTCGTTGATCTGCTTCTGATACATGTCTTGTGCACCAATCACTGTGCCAGGAAACAAGGCCACTGCGCATCCTTCGACTAACGTGTTCATGACTCTGAAATTTGGAAAACACATCATATATATTAGAGAGTTAATGCATTATTAAATAAGCCAAAGGAGTTTGATTTGTAGACCAACAACTGTACTACAAAAGAAAAAATGGAAATTATGTAAAAAGAACTCACCTGTTTTGCTCTCTTGAGTGCTTGCTTCTTGTACATGTAGGAATCACTGTTCACTACAAATACCATTTTGAAGGAGGAGAGGTTGAACTTGCACTGAGTGTTGTCCACAATATCCATATCAGGACACACAGGAGGTTTTACATCTTCAGCACAGCTATCCCTGCAAAACATGTTCGACCATCTTATTTACTTCATATTTTGGGGGATACGAATAACATCCATATAAATATACATATAACTGACAGTTTTCATACCATACTAGTTAGACATGATTGAAAATAAATAGACTGAACTAGATCTATTGTCTTATGGACATTATCATCACAGTTGAAAAAGAACGCATTCTTCTTCCATGAAAGGGTACACATACTTTTCTACTTCCTGATTGGTCTGTCTTGCTGCTGTCAGTTTTCTCCAAGATCGAAGATTACGTGGGAGAAATACTGGTTTTCTGGAGAGCTGAGCCTGCATGGCAGGAGACATCTGGGAAAAGAAACCAATATATTATATCACAAATACCCATACTGAATTTCCCATTATAGAAAATATATTTCATTTATGTGACCATCAGCTAACGGCACAAGTGAGGCATACTAACCTGAGGTGCGACGGAAGAAACATATTTTTCAACATAGGCACTCCATCTTTCCACCTCAGCAACAGCAGGTGGAATTGTAGAGGAAGGAACTGTGGTGTTATGACTAACTGCTGAGCCTGCGCTGCCTCCACTGTCATTCTCCTCCTCAATCTCCGTGTCTATCAGTTCTATTGTCATTCTACAATTTCTTTTGTACTGTGGAAAGGAATAGATACAGAAGTCACTAACTGATAAATATAAATTGTAATATCTATCCTCACAGATGAAAAGAAAGATTATAAAGAATGAAAAAGGAATCACAGTTATTTCCTCAAGACCTCCTGCACCTTATGCATAAGCTATAGAAAAAAATTATCCAGACTTTATCCCAACAAAGGTTTTGAATGAATAAGACAAAATAATAAATAATTACAGTGTAAATTTTGAAGCAATTCTCATCTTGTAATAAGCGCTCTGACTTCTTCTGATAGGCCTGTTCTGCTGCGAGCCGTCTGTGTGCAGAGGCTAAAGGTCCGCCAGCAGCACCTTTCTTTGCCTCACTCAGGTACATGGCGGTGCACTGGACTGGGGGGTCATCACACACCAGGTGTTGTAACTGCCTTACAGCACTAGTAACCACCTGAAAAGTAAGAAATAAAATGGGTTAAGTCCTCTTCAATTTTCCTTTTTTTTCTATTTAAATAAACCTACAAAAAAAGATGAAAGAAAGAAAGAAAGAAAAAAATAAACAGAGCAGCCTGCCTAGAGTCCGCTGTATGCCATCTTCATTTCTTCTTTTTCAAATTGCATATAAAACTTGAAAGCTGGCTCAAGCTGTTACTATTGACTTTTTAAAGATAGAGCAGTCCTGAAGATTTTACTGTTATTTTATTGTCACAATAAAAGAAATTTAAAAACCAGATTAATTTCTTTTAAAAGACAACTTGAAAATAAAAAACAATGTCTTGTACAAGTCAAAATTAAAATATTGTAAATCAAAAATGCTTAGAGAGGTCTGTGCACACACATCTTTCTAAAAGCTCAAAGATAGAGTGAATTACACACATAAGGAATGTTTCACTTCAATGTGTGTGCTTTGCAAAAACATTGTTATATGAGAATTTAGTCAAAATCCATAGAAAAAAAAAGTTCAACAGGCCATTGCTTGCTATTCATGGGAAATAAATTACTCATACTAACTGGGCCATATTAATGTGAACAGTTTTCTGCCCTAAATGTTTTCTTGGGCGAGTGCATATTCAGTATTTTTTTGGGACATTTTAGCGGCTGTAGAGATAAATCCCAGTATGAAGGACACAAAATTTCTGAACCCAAAACTTTAGCTAGATCCCTGAAAAACAGGTGGTCCCATGCACTGCCTTTACTTGCCTCAAATAACTGAACATTATACACATATGTTGGGTAAGAATGGCAGGGTTAACATTCAAGAGGTGACAAGGAAGAATAATCCCATCTGGAATCCCTTACGCTGTCCCCCAAAGGATATTTGTGGTAAGAGGGAATATACTACATAAAGTACATTTATTAAATGTTCAGTAAGCCAATTTAACTTTGGATTCATTTTATTCAGCATATCATAACCACCACCACAACAATATAAAGTAACAATAATAAATCAAAATTTAGCGTTTTTTTCTCTTTGAGACTTTATTCAAATTATGTACAAGAATAACATAATGCCCTCATTCTAAATATTCAGTCGCCAATAACCTCGTCACAGAGAAAGACAGCATATGACACTTACTTTATCCATGGTGAAGCCTGTGTACGCATGGATTCCGAACATCTCCCTCAAAGTATCTTCATACGCTGTTGGTTCCAAATTACCATCAAGGACATTCTTGATCATGTCCAGTAAGGCAGGGTAGTAATCTTCAACAGCAATCTCATCTGGAACAATTGAATATACAATAAATAAGCAAAATAAAATACTGAGCAAATAAATGATTCAACCAAGGGTATTTCATTATATCTTACACATACGATTCTGATCAACTAATTTCCATGGTTTAGAACAGTGGTTCCCAATCTTTTTCATCCTGTGGCCCCCGACCAATAAATAATAATCTCGATGGCCCCACTCAATTCCTTCTCTTTTCAGATTCAGTTATTACAACTTATGAATAGTCAATGGTGTCAATAGCTACAAGACACGAAAACTTTATGGAAAGATTCCAATTTATTGATATGGGAGAGATAATTACATATAGGTACTGTATGAGATAAAATTCAGTTTAATTCTATATCAAAATTTTCATTTTGCTCCATGGCCACCAAAAAAGGAGGCCATGACCCCTAAGTCTGGAACCCCTGCTTTAGAACATGGCGACTAATAGACAAAGACAAAGAAAAGAAAAAAAGAAGAAGAATGCAAAAAGTATATTACACAAACATATCAAAATTTCCAACCACTACTTACTTTTGGGTTTGAGTCTGAGGGCGACAGCAGTAGCTTCTTTACGGTCTTTCCTATCCTTAGCTTCTTCAGCAGCTATTCGCACTGCATGTTCGTACATAGTGGTAAGACGGCAGCAGAGAATTTGGTGTAAGCGGAGGAACAGGTACCAGTTGTTGTTGCACATGAATAATCTGTACTCGTCATCCTGGGAAAATGATGTCAAATTAGAAAACTGTTTACGTGAATACAAAATGAGAAGACTGTATCTCTACAATCACTTACAGTTTTATCACATAGACTAATTCATTATCAAAATTCAAGAATTTTTGTGTATGAAGGAAAAAGTTATTTCAGTTGAAAAATCACTGCATCCCATTCAGACCTGTGAACAGTAAGCTGATCTAGCTTTAAGGGTATTTGCCGGTTTTTAATCATTTCTTTATTAATCATTTCTTTCTGTGCTTAAAAACTTCCCTTTTTACAATAATTCTTTCAGTTATCCAAAATTCTTTACAATATGTCTATCTATCTCTATTTATTATTTGCACGTGCCCCAACTGCTTCCCTTTAAACACTTCCCTCCAAAGCCTGTGTTTTCTCGTGGCTGGACTCTGAGACCAAAGCTTGCCACAGGCATTGCATACAGTGTGCGCCATTCACAAGAAAAATTTGAACCACGTGAATTATATATTTTCCCCGCTGTCTCCAATCTGGCCGTGCCACATTTAATCTTTCGAGAAAAGTAAGACTTTAATAAGCCTACCTCTTTAAGGCTGTATCTCCTCTCTCCTCAACAGTCGCACACTAGAGCAAACAAGCACAGTACTGTTTCCTGCATATAAAACAAAGCAGCAAGTACGGCATGGATACTTGCCACCAAGCATATGGATCTGGTGCTTCATGGCAATAATAAACACCACCAGGATTCATGGGCTTAATCAGCTTACAGCCATATGCGTATCCAAGCCCCCTCACTCCCTAGATTAGACACCATTACAGTCAAATTTCATGTTCAGATAATCTACAGTCATCCTGCACCTGCACACATCTATATACCTCATCTCACTGGTGTCCAAAACAGATTAACGCTATGAATGGCACATTATTTCATCTACTTACACTGTGACAGAAGGGTGATATTAACTTTATAATTCTATGACATGATTTTCATATAATGCACGGATTTTATAAACAATTTGTAATATAATTTTCCCAATCAAAATTCATTTCTTATTCCAACCCATCCCCCATCCCCCATTTTTGGCATTTGGTATATAAAATTAAAATGAATTATCAGGTCTGCTCAGGTCTGAATGGGGGTATATAACAATTTTAATATTCATACCGAAAGGCTATATGCTATCAAAATCAGAAGACATCAAAATGATTGACATCATCCAAGTAACTTCATTATCATAACCATAAACACATTTCCAGATATAAGAACCAATAAAAATCTTGGCATATAAGCATATGACTGACTGGTACATCTAAAATGTGAGCTAATACATCAAAGTCTTCTATTATATACTTTCTAATTATGCAATATATGTGACAAAATAAAAAACAAATTTCATATGAGAGATGAAGGGGGAGAGCTGCAGAATAAAAAGAATGACAGAGAGAAGGAATAAAAGAAACAAGGATTGGAAAAAAAAGATCCAGAAGAAGGAGAGGTAGGCCTATAGCTGGCATGAGGAAAAGGAGTAAAAAGAGATCTCAAATAACACTAAGCATTGTTCTTTGTGAAAGGAAGGACACATCTTTTCAACCATACATATGAGCACATCTCCAATAACTCCAGATCTTCAAGAAACTTGTTTTGCCTCATACAGAGTCAGTAATGACATAGGCTCTCACACCTATTAACCATAAACCTAGCTTCATTCTGAGACATGTACACAACATGTGTGCATGTGCCTCACTCACGAATGATAAGACTAGCACCACATACCACAAATTCTTATTCATGCAAATTTTCTGAAGAGCTACTCATATTTTGATTTATCAGTACTTGTGATACTATGGGTACAGGACATGATCTGAGTTAAATTACAGGGGCTGACAGCCTAAAAGTCAGGAGTGCAGCCACCTTCATGAAATGCATTGGAAAGGGCGTCATACCACTTTCTCTTAAAACATTTTGAATGTAAGAATACGATGCAGATATCTTACAATTATCATATATTAGATCAGCATGTCTGACTTTGATCTACACACAACTATCTTTGAGCCTTTTATTTACTCAATGCTCTTGGGTGTTAAGATCTAATGATAGCCTGAGCCAAGATATCAAGACTGTTTTGAAACTGAGTGGCTTCAACTACATTCTGAAAGGCATGCAAAAAAAAGTAGGAAAAGGTTGTCTTAGAGAGACAACCTTCAAAAGTTGGCTGAAGACTTTTTTTCACACCTATGTTAACAAAGTTCTTGGGAACCATGGTCCTCTGTACTAAAAGTGGGCAACCTCACAAATGAGTGTAATAAGCCCAGCTTTATCTAACGGGGTGGTTTAGGCCCTAGATGCAACAGGTTTTTTCTATTCAGGAAACATGAATTTAACAAAAATGGTGTCTGTGACAGTATCTATTCTATGAATTGCAATGTCAACTTTATATAATTGTTGGTATTCATTATTGCTGCCTACATCTTCAGTTACTCAAATAATACTGACAATAGTTCCCTATGAATCTGGATGCACTGTTGTCCACTCGGCTGACCACATGCATTCCAAGGCCCAATAATTTCTGGATTCGCAAGCTGCAACTACACACCAGATCAAGCCATATTTCTGCTCGTTAAAAATTCTTTTGTCACCAAGAAACAAATTCCAACTTACCGACTGAGGGTTTCCATTACCGTTGGTCCCAGGCTCCTCCTTGATGTCTGGTTTCTCGTCATCTACTTCTGTCTTTATGCTAACTTTTTCATCCTCTGTTGCATCACCATTAAGAGCAGCTTTACTCTTATTATCATCTTTGGTTTTATTGTTATTGTTGTTATTGTTATTATTCCCACTTTCTCTCACACTTTTTGTGTCTCCTTCTTTTTCTGGATCTGTCCCTCTACTTCTACTTTTTCTCTTATTGGAATTATTGTTAGTGGTGGCACATGAGGTGGAAGAGGTTTGTTTGCACTCTCGTTCTCGCAGATCTCGGCGGCCTGTATTTTCACACTTTCCATCACTCTTGTTGTCTTCCTCTTCCTCTTCTTCATCTGTAGGATATGAAGTATGACTTTAATATATCTAACATAATATTAAAAACCTTTGTGAAAAATCACATATACAATATCCTTGTGCTAAAATCAGAGGTGCTTAGGGCACAGAAATTGATGAAAATATGGTTGTTAGTATATCATCTACAATATTAAATTTTAAGTCAATCTCTAAGCTTTACTGCATTAATCTATGTGATCTCAGTAACTCAGATGTTTTTGTTCAAAATCCTTAAAGTAAAAACTTCATATTTTGCTTGATATCAAATGAAACTACGCATTAAATGAGGCAAATGCGTTTATTGTCCTAGTAAACTAGGACAACAAACTTTTAATGACTGCTTAATTACCTGAGTTGGTTTGCAGAATCTAGCGTACAATATCAAAACTATACCAACAGTTTACTTGCATGCAATATGGGCAAATAACATCTTTTTGTTTATAAACACAACATTTGTCAGAACTGCAGTGATGTGAATATAGGCCTAGTGTTGCTGCTTATGCAAGTCTATCGCTGATACTCATAAACAGCAATTAAAATCATATCAGGATTAATGACAAAGGCTAGAGATGAAAGCCCTGGATCTGTTACACTGTCAGACTAAATGAAGAGCAGCAGCAGCATTTGACACATTATAAACAGAAAAAACTGCCTGAAACCCCCTTGAAGGCATGAAATCTAAAATCTTCCTCTGTTACGGGTTACACTTACTCCTAGTGACAGATTACACTTTTAGAAGGAATAGAACAATCATGCTTATAGCAAGGGAACCTATCCAACAAAATGACTTGAAAAATTACGGAATGCAACATGTACCAATAAAAGGGTAGTGACACGGAAGCACACTACTTGTATCAACACTCCAAGATCAGAAGCTAGCAGTTTCAAGCCTAATGTTACAATACATTACATCGACGGCAAGGGAAGACCACATTTGTATTACACACACCCATTCCAGCAACTACCAACCTTCCATGTCCTTCTCATCGTCAGACATTTCCTGCCTTGTGTGGAACAAGAGGTCTGGCAAAAAGTGTCTGACTATCTGCTTAATCTTAAGCTTGTCCTCCTTATGGTAAGTGGTCTGTCTCTTCACATGGTGAATCACCAAGTTGGCTGCATCATCCAAGATTGACTTGTCAGTATAATGGAGCACCATGTGGGGGCCAGTGATCACCTCACCACTGTCCTCCTGCTGCTCATGCCGCTATAAAAAAAAAAAATAATAATAAATAAAATAAAATAAGTGTGTGAGAGTGAGTGTGTGAGCGATGAGAAGACACAGGTGTGTAGTGTGTGAGTAGAGGTTTGTTTGTTTGTTAGTGTGTGTCTGTCTGAGTGTATGTGACCATGTGTGTGTGTGTGTGTGTGTGTGTGTGTGTGTGTGTTGTGTGTGTGTGTGTGTGTGTGTGGTGTGTGTGTGTGTGTGTGTGTGTGTGTGTGTGTGTGTGTCTCCGAGTGTGTGTCTGTGTGTGTGTGTGTGGAGTGTTGTGTCTCCGAGTGTGTGTCTCCGAGTGTGTGTGTGTGTGTGTGTGTGTGTGTGTGTGTGTGTGTGTGTGTGTGTGTGTGTGTGTGTGTGTGTGTGTGTGTGTGTGTGTGTGTCCGAGTGTGTGGTGTGTGTGTGTGTGTGTCCGAAGTGTGGTGTGTGTGTGTGTCCGAGTGTGGTGTGTGTGTGTGTCCGAGTGTGTGTGTGTGTGTGTGTGTGTGTGTCCGAGTGTGTGTGTGTGTCCGTGTGTGTGTGTGTTGTGTGTGTGGTCCGAGTGTGTTGTGTGTGGTGTCCGAGTGTGTGTGTGTGTGTGTGTCCGAGTGTGATGTGTGTGTGTGTGTGTCCGTGTGTGTGTGTGATGTGTGTGTGTGTGTCCGAGTGTGTGTGTGTGCTGTTGTGGACGTGTGATGTGTGTGTGCTGTGTGTCCGAGTGCTGTGTCCGGTTGTGTGTGTCCGAACGTGCCCTGTTCCGTCGTGGTGCTAGTGTGTGTGGTGTGTGTGTGGTTGTCGTTGGGTTGTGTGTGTGCTCGTCGTGTGGTGTGTTGTCGTGTGTGGTGTCGCCTGTGCTGTTGAGGCTGGGCATGCCGCACCGGAAATGGTTGTCCTGCTGTGCTGCTCCCCGAAGCTCCGGTGTGTGTGTGATGTGGTCGTGTGTGGTTGGTGGGGGATACGACGTATGTGTGTCAGCAGCTAGCATATGTCCAGAGACGGAGTGTGGTGTCGGTGTTCTGGGAGTGGTAGTGGGGTCCGAGCCGACAGTGTGGCGTTTATGGTGTGCTAGTGCGTGTGTGGTGCGGTGTACCGACCAGTGGTGCTGCGTGTGTGTGGTTTGGACTCGGAACCTCCCTCAGATGGCTCTCACCCACCCCCCCCCCGCCCGTCCGTCCGCGTGCTCAACCACAACGAACACGCGTGTCAGCCTGCTGCATGTACGCTGCATCCTCCGAACCCCCGGTGGCGTGGGGTAGTGTGTCCGAAGTGGTGTATGTCGACTGTGCTGTCCCGACCGTTGTGTGTATTGCTGTATGTGCTTGCTGATGATGTGCTGTTAGCGGATGTGTAGTGTGCTGTGCCCTGAGTGCTTTTGTGGGTGTGCTTGAGTCCGTTGTCGCGTTCGATTCGTAAGTCGGTCAGTTCTCCCACGAGGGTGCTGTGTCCGTCACCGAAACACTGTACAGAGTGTGTCTGTGCTGCCCACGGAGGCCCCGGGTGTCTCAGCCTGCTGTCGTCGGCCCCACCCCCCACGCCATGTCCTCGAGTGTGTGTCTGTTTGCCGGTGTCCGAAGGTGTGTGTTGATGTGTGTTGTGTGATGTTCGTGGTGTAGTGGTGTGTGTGTCGTGTGTGTGGGGTCGTGATGAGGCAAAGTTGTGAGGTAGAGTGTGTGTGGGGTGCTCTAGTCAAAAGTCTGTACACTACTCGTACCCAACTCCCCACCCCCTCTCGCAAGAAAAGTGGTCGCTGTGATGTGTTCCATAGCAGACGGTGTCACGAACAGTAGTGGTGGTCACGTGTCCGAAGAGTGTGTAGTGTGGATGTGGGTCGCAAGAGTTGTCGTGGTGTGGTCCCGAGCCGTTGGGGACTGTCTGTGTGTGTCCCCGAGGTGTGTGTGTGTGTTCAGAAGTGTTGTGCTTGTGTGTGGTCGGTGATCGAATATGTGTGTGTGTGGCTAACCAAGCTTACGAGGAAAAAAGGTGTGTTGATCAGTGATGATGTCCATAGACAACAAGGTCTGCTGTGTGTGTGTGTCCAGAGGTGGTGTGTTAATGTGTGTCAGCAGTCGTCGGTGTGTGTGGGTGTGTTTGATTACGAAGTCGTGTAGTGAGCAAGTGACTCGATGTGTGTGGTGTGTGTAGGTGTGGTGTGTGTTGACGTGTGTGTCGTGGTGTGTGTGTTGGTCGTGTGGTGTGTGATGTGTGTGTCGTGTGTGTGGTAGTGTCGGTGATATTATGTGTCCGATATATGTGTGTTCCGAGTGTGTGTGTGTAGTTAGTCGTGGCGTGTCCGACTGGAAGGTGTGTTGGTGTGTGTCCGAGTGTCGTGGTGTAGGTGTCCGAGGTAGTTGTGTGGTGTGTTCGAAGTGCTGCGTGATGTAGTGTGTCAAGAGTGGTGTGTGGTATAGATGTCCATGAGTGTGTGTGTGTGTGATGTGGTGGTGTCGTGTTGTGTGTGTGCGGTTGTGTGTGTTAGAGTGGTGTGTGGTGGTTGTGTGTGGGGTGGTGTGTCCGAGTGGGTGTGGGTGTTCTGTCCGACGACTAGTGTGGTGTCTGTGTCAGTTGTTGTGTGGTGTCAGTGTGTCCGGAGCTGTGGTGTGTTGTGTAGCCAGTGTATAGTTGGTGGTCCGAGTAGGTTGTGTAGTGTGTACCGACCCAGTTGTACGTGTTGGTGTGTGGTGTGTCGGGTAGTAGTGTGTGCGTGTGCGTGTGTTCTGTGGTGTGTGTGACCGAGTTGGTGTGTGTCTGTGTGGGTGTCCACAAGTGTGTGTTGTGTGTGTGTGTCCACGTGTGTTTGAGTGTCCGAGTGTGTGTCTGTGTACTTGCACACGTGTGCTTGTGTAAGAGCAAGGGGCATGAGGGGTGCACATGCTTGTTTGTGTATGTACAAAAGTGTTACAAATATAAAATTTAAATTTCTCTGTTTCAGTTATATCCCGCAGGTACTTGTAGTCTAAGGAGTTCATTATATCTCTATCTATAAAAAATCATATTACCAAAATTATCTCTTTTCTCAATTTAGAATAAGACTGAAGTCGGGGACGTACATACCTCATCAAACAAAGTTTCGATGTCATTTAGAAGACTTTTGGATCTTATTGTCTTGATGTCTGTTTGCTTGAAAGTGATACCCTGATGATCAAGTGATTTTAGGTAGTATTTCTCATTCTGTTCTCTCCAAATTTTGTTAAAGCCTTTTTGTGCTTCCCTCCATTCTTCATCCTGAAAAGACGAAATTACCGACTGTCACAGGAGCATTCACTAAACATTTGGGGAAGGAGAAACATTTCAATAAAATAGAAAGAAAAATTAGAATAAAGAAAAAAAAAGGCAACGAAACTTGTAAGCCAACTCATCCATTGCCCCCTGACCGAAAAGAATAAGTTACAAAATTGGTCAGTATTTGGAGAGAGACGGAAAAAAAGGGAGAAAAAAAAAAAAAAAAAAATACAACAACCTTACCTTTGCTTTTAATCTTCTTAAGACCAAAGGCACTGCAACAACTGGATTCTTTTTCAATCCATCAATAATGTCAGGAGCTTTGTCACCATATATTCGCCTGATGGCTCTCTGGTGTATTGTTGGAGAGTTGCCCCCGAGGGAATCATCTAACCGAAATCTTGCAGCCTCTTCTGGACTCATCCTCTGAAGCTTCTTGTGTACTCCCTCTAACACGCGCATCGTTGCCAAATTGGTCTCTAGCACAACATCCAACTGGAACAGGAATACCATTCATTAATCATTTCGCTCAACAACTTTCACTTTGCGACTTCTTCTATTGTCAAAAGTTACTTTATGGGAATGAAACTTATAATGCAGGTGAAAATCTAGAACAAAGCAAGCCTCCAATACAAACCTCAAATCTCTCATCCTCACAACGGTAAATGTACTCTTCGTACTGAGTTTTCCGTGAGGTAACAAAGGTGGAATCCTCTGACCAAGAGGGGAAGGAAACCCAGGTATCATTAAGAACTTCTTTACAGAGACCTGTTCTTCCTGAACACTTGGGCTGGGGATACGACTTTGGCAGAGCACAATAGGAGGCTCCCAGTCTCTTGCATGTTGTGTAATCTGGAAATGGATTGAAGACCATACAAATACTTATAGTGTAATAAATCACTTTGTTATTCCAATAATCCTCCCATCATTCCTTTATCTGAACAAATTTCTGAGCACTGACAACTATGTTCATTCAGGTTTCTTACAAAAACTATTTAATTTTCATCTGTCATCATCACTCTTGCTCATCTTTCTTAATACTTACCGATCTCCATTGCCAGATCACCACTAATCCTTTCTTGTTTGGCAACAGTTGAGGGGATAATATCTGAGCTGCCTAGAGCTCCTTCACGGTATCCTACAAAATCCTGAAATATGGACATTTTGCATTACAGTACTGTTTTCTGAATAGTTCCCCACAGATTAAATTCACTAACATAGAGATGCCATTTTAACACTAAATTTTCCTGTACATTTTTTCAAAACACATTGATACCTGGAGTGCATATATACACACACACAGTTCACTTTGGTTTTCTTTCATTATTCATTTTCTACACATACATGGATGAACAAGTCCTTAGTCACTGAAGATTCACTTACTAAGCCCTACTTGACCTCACCAAATGACCCTATTCACTAATTATCAGGACTGCTTTTTTCTCATTACTATCATTTGTTATTGATATTAAAACAACAATGGTATCTACAACATCATCAGTATTACCAACAACAAAAATATTAATAAATAACATCATACACAGAAATCAAAACTTTATGAAAAAATCAGGGAATGCAGTAAACTGGCATTGTAAGGCCAGCTAGTTCTGACTACTTGGTGACGAAGCACTTGTAGAGCTATCTATTTGTAAATCAAAAAGAGAACAGAACCAAAGCAGACTGAGCATGTTTCCGGCATCACAGGGTAAACAGAGACAAATGAGGAGGCAGCTTACCTTGAACCACTTCAACAGGTCTGGGAATTTTGCAAGGAATGGGTGGACTAGCTGCACCAATTCAGCGCGTGTGATGATTTCCTCGTTGTAAAGAGTGATGCACCTCAGGAAGTTGTGATACGTCTCTTCATGACGTAACGCTTTCCGTACCTATTGGCATGAGAGAATTATCTTAATTTCTCTGCTTTAAAAAAATATATATACTATCATTATTTACAAGGGAAAAGTATAGAACTCAATTTCGTCAAACAGAACACAACCCATGCAATTTACCTTGTCAAAGAAGGCATACTCAGCTAGAGTGGCATGTTTTCCAGCTTCTGCAGCACTCATATCTTTGAGATAACCCAATTTTGGTTTCTTAACGGGTGGCTGGGCATGCGCGTGGCCATGGGAGTGGCTTTGTGTTGGCCCTGGGTGAGGTCTTTTTAGCTGATGGCTGAACAAAGGTGGCGTTTTGTTGGGGGGGTTGCCGGGCCCACTGACCATGTTGTTCCCAGATCCCATACCACAGCTGCTTTTTAGGTTTGGTTTCTTCACTGAGGTATGATCATTGCTTACATTTTTATTACTCTGTGAAAAAAATATCATAAAATTATAAAATTATCTCAGAATATCCTTAATTTTTACTTTTCAAAAGGCTGGAAAATTAAAAGGCGTGGGCTGCATGCTTACCCCATGATGAGTGCGATACTGGTCCATAAAGTCAGAAACAGCTGCTTGGGCAGCTGAGTTGTTGGTTGCATCGGGTAGGAACTGGCCAAACTCTTGCAGTAAATCTTCTTGGTTCTCAAATAACTTTGCAACCTGTTCTCAAAAAATTGAAGCATTAATATACATATCCATAAGATTATATACATAAATGTCAATATACACATGCTTATTTGTATTGGTTTTGTGTGTGTTGGTCTAGGTATATAAAATCCAAACACTTTAAACACTGCTAGAGGGAAAGAATATGTCAATCATTTGGATAGAGTGCTATCTTGATATTCAAACTAGTACAGCTGGCATTATGACTGTTGCGCTATAAGGCCAGCTGCTACTGGATGTCCCAGGTGCACCATATACCAAAGGAAAATCTCATTTACTGAAGACAACCCAAGAAAAATAAATTACCTTCTCATAGACCTCCGTTTCGGTGAGTGTTCTGGCAGGAATTGATCCTCCATCCTTAATGTGTCTCTGCTCCTTCTGATAAGTGTGAAGGATTTCTAGGAACTGCTTGTAGATGTCAGGCTGGCCTTGAAACCGCAACTGCACGAGAGAATTAAAATTTCAATCACTTGATACGAAAATAAAGAGAATCAATAAAACTGAACTACAATGCCTCAACTAGTTTATGAATGGCATCTGACACGTCTTTACTATTCTATCCAGGAAGGAGGAGGGGGGGGGAAATCCTTGGAAGACTTAGTTCTGTCATCTGTAATAAATAAAGACATTTCAGCAAAAATTTGGAAAATAGCATGTAGAAGCTGGGAGGACATGAACATGTATATGTCCAGTCCATTGTGATTTTAGTTTATTCACTTTGCTCCCACAGATGGCTCAACCATAGGCCCTTGGTCATCAGAGAGTCAAATACTAGGCCTACTTAATTAAAACAATTCACCCTTTTCCTAAACTTATGAAATTGTTTTTATTGTTACTCCTATCACTGTTGATAAGATAATGATTATTGTAAAACTAATATCAATAACAGTAAAAATAACATGGTATTTGAAAATTTAAAAAATTGTGAAAACAAAATTTACAAAACAAAACTACAGTGCGTGTATCTAGCAACAATGTTACAAGAGTGAATTTGTTTACATAAATATGTTTTTCTTTATTTAGTGCACCTATCCCTGGGGTAAAAACCTCTTGAGCACAAAGTTGCAGATTTTCTACAGTATCATAAAAAAAAATTGTCTGATCCACCAAATTATGCAACTGTTCATCAGCGTATAAATAGTGAGCTTACAGTGTAATGCGACAAAAATAACAATTGATAAGTAGCAGTGTTTGTTTTTTTATATTTTAAGAATCAATCTTTACCCTAAAAATTACCAACCTACTCTATCCCTTCCTTAAAAGGATTTATTTAGTTCTCATCACGAGGATTAATCAGTCAGAAAGGGTACAGCAATAACGTCAAAATATAGTTCATATTGACAATATTTCCCCCTGTTGACCTTATCTTTTCTTCCCTTCTCTTAGGCATCTCACTTATCTAGAACATCTAACCTTAGAGTCATTTTGACAAATCATACAAAATCATGTTATCAATTATAAATTATACCTAATATAAAACCTGGATGTTTATAAGTCATACATCATATTTTCAGGACATACTAGGCAAGTCAATAACTTTCATGTTGTGTGTATCTGATAGGCTCGCAATAGTAAATGCAAGATAAATTGTAATTGACCTGTAAATGTGTTTATTGTCTAGTCATCTTCCAAAGGTAGTCCTGTACATGCCTACACTTACTCCAAGGTAAAGGGAGATTATGAATCATAATGAATAATCATTATCAGTATTGCCATCATTATTACTATTACTGAAGTAGTGTAGGCTTGAAGAGGCGTTGAGTCAGTGTTCAAGGTGTATTTAAGCAATGCTGAAGGGGTGGCTGGAGAAGTGTTGAGGAACAAACAATGTCATATCATATTTTATGAACTATTGACATTTTAACAAAATACTTTCCAGAGACCATTAATAGGTCTGTTTCTTTTGCTGTTTATAATTCTTGCAGTAACCCTACTTTGACTATAACTTGTACTTGACCTTACTCTCCCCATAATGATTCACTTGCTGTGGCTGCACTAGAGAAAGTCTAAAAATTATTTTAAGGGACTAATGGTTCCCTTATAGGCAAAGGGGTACTAAATATATATGAAAGGAAAAGCTTTTATATCCTTGATAAAAAAAATTGCTAACTTATCTAAAATTGTTCTTATTTTCAGGATGAAATAACCAGACCAGGTAGGTAACAGCCAGGAGTGTCCCTATTCTTCTTGTTTTGTTCTGTTTTTGTATTTTTTGCCACCCCCTTTTGCTAAGTTAATTTCAAATAAGATCTATCATGACCAACCATGGGTCCCAGCAGCGAGCAAGGGGGTGGGAATCTGGATTAATAGGTGAGCTGGGACGCTCAGGCGGCTAGGATTTGGCAACACAAATGAGGAGGGATATTTGTAATTGCTATGGTACGCCCATTGACCCACGAGCCCTATATTTTGTGCGTTCCCCTAATTTCCCTTACTTTTAACATGGGAAATCTTAGTTCCATTTCAACTTAATTTTACATAGTAGGAAAAGGATATTTCATGCTTATAACACAATGCTTTAACAGAGCACGAAGTTGAAAAAGTTACCCTTTGCATATGAATGAAAATCAAGATAATTTTCCATAAACCTGTAAATCTAACAAAGCAACAAAATCTGATTTTGATTCTAGAAAGTATTGAAATATGTATTCAAATGTATTTCTAAGTATCAAGATGTATAAAGACAGAGATATACAAGGACGAATTTCTGATACGTACTAGCACGGCGAGTGGAGGGGAAAGCGGATGAGGAAAATTTTTCTTTTTCCATGGATGAAATAGGCCATATAGTACCTGAAGCTCTAATTCTAACCCAGTAGGACCTAACTGATTTACAACCATTGGAAGGCATTTACAGATTTTAACAATGGTAACAGTGGAAACTAAACTACTCACTGGCTTGAAAACAAACTGTCTCGATCATCTATAACCCTCCCCCTCTGTGGGACAGTCCCCTTGAACTTGGTAGCATGAACAACAAGCAATAGAACTCTAAAGGATATTCCACTACAGTTATCATTCTTATTCTATTGTTATCAAAGCTATCAAGTTTACAGAGACAAATAGAATGACTGAAGAGTGCCTGACAATGTAGGGAAAAAGAAAAGAAAAGAAAAGAAAAAAAAAAGGAGAAAAAAAGTATATATATATAAACATATATATACATACATATATAATACATACATACATACATATATATATATATATATATATATATATATATATATATATATATATATATATATATATATATATATATATATATATATTACACATTAAGAATTATGGTAAAGCAGTAACTGTTGGAAATTAGTCTTACAGATACATTTATCTTTATGTATTAAAACACAAGAGCTCTAAAGAAAGATGATTTTTTGAAATAGAGAACATTATGCATCAAGTTCTTCTACACATTCAATACTAACACTAGATAATAATTTTTCCAAACGACTAAATGAAGAACACAAAATAGGAGGATATTCCTTGACTTAGAGAAAAATAGAAAGTGTTTTATCCCATTTTGAAAACAAAAAATCAACAGTATTTCACAAAAAGGAGAAATAGAAACATTGTCAATTCGGATATGGATAAGCACTAGCCAACCCCATCATTCCTTCATATGTCTGATGGTAATGATTCCCAACTTAAATATGTGAAATTACTATAAAAGAAATACCAGACACTGCTATTTATCTATCATTACTAAATTTGCTTACATATCTTTAGGTAATGGATAAAAGACACACATGCAAACACACAAAATGTCTTGAACAATCAAGTTCACTGACTTGTTGATCTATATATTTATTTTCTCCAATTCCTGTTAAGTCTTAGCCAAAATTTGCAAATCTACAAATAACTCCACAAAGAAGGAAAATAAAGGAAATCATGACACTACAGGGGCTCCTACCTTAATCTTATTCACGTAATTAATGGCATGGTTGAACTCCACAGGTTGTGCTGGAGGCTGGTGGTGGTGATGGGGGTGATGATGAGGTGGGGGAGGCTGGGGTTCCCGGCTGGGGTGCTGGGGGGCTGTGTTGGTGGAGTGCTGTGCACCCCCTGCAGAGCTGCTGGTGGCATTAGAGCTGCTACCGGAGTTCGTGCCTGTGGGGGTGCTGCTGCCAACACTAACACTGCTTGCTACCTGACTGACACTGGCTGTTCCTCCCCCAGTGTTACCACTATTAGCTCCAACACCCCCACTTCCACTGCCACTGCTGCCACCACCACCGCCCCCAGCCCCACTGCCACTTCCTGCTACATTGTGAACACTGTGAGTGCCAACTAAACTTGGTCCTGTGTGTGGTGTTACACCACCAGATGTCAACGCTGATCTACAAGAACAAATAATCATCCATTAAATGCAAGTTTAGCATTATCTACTTAAAACTATTCACATGTCAAAAATAAAGCTTCATTACACTGAAATCTATAATATAATGACTACAACTTCAATAGTTATATATATTGTTCTATCTTGTAAAATCACTTTTTTCTCTCTCTCCTTAAATGTTGATCAATCGTGAAGGAAGTTTTCAAGATCTCCTTATAAATTTACAAGGAAAGCCAAAACTGATTTAGGCAAGCTTTGTATCTCCTTCTAGAACTTAGAATACATTAATGAAAATCAGACAGAAGATGGCATTAGACATAAAATCCAGCTGATGAAAATTTAATTTAGTTCACTCTCTTACCTTGGCGGCTGCGGATGATGAGGCGGCTTGACAGTCACAGGCTGTGGTGGCGGCGGAGGTGGATGGTGTGTTGGGGTGATGTGATGACGGATGCCTTGAGGGGTATGAACCACTGTTGTCTGTTGCCCTGGAACACTAACGCTTACCTGCATGGACAAAAATAACAAAACTGTAATAGTTGTTACGCAAATGCAACAGAACCGAAAATAAATGTACTTTAACCTTCTGCAAAAGCAGAACAAAATTTTCCAAATATTTTTATAATCCACAAATCAGTAAATCACATTATTATTTCAGCATAAAGTATTGTTTTCAATATGCATTTCATTTTCTTTATTTTATCAAAATGAAAAATTAACTGTTGCACTGCAGATTCAGGCACTGATGTTTTGCCTTAGTTTCATTTCAATTCCTCATCAATCACTTCACATACATAATTCTAATGTTCAACTGAATTCCACCATACTTGTTTCATTACAAATCCAATCATCCCTTTTCCAATCAGACTATTTTCGAATATTGCAATAACAATCTTCAAATCTGTCATCAATAAGCCTCAACCATTACCTATATCCAATCAGCATAGGGAACCAGCTTAGACAGCCATTACTGCCTCCAATGACAGTGGTCTGGGAGTCATCGCAAGAAAACCTACAAAGACTGCTTTGCACAGTGCTTTTGAATTGTGTGAGGCATGTGTAAGTGAAGCATGATAAAGGCAACCATTTATTTCTCATTAAATAGCAACAGACAATATAAAGACAAAATCTCTTGCATTTCACTCTTGAATCAAAGGTAGGGTTATGACACAAGGCTTAAAATTCTTATCAAACTCTAGATATTCTGAGCTCCTGTCATGGACCATCACACAAACTATTCCTTGTGCTCGCTAATCACAACTGACCTGAGATAATACTAAAGCAATATGAAGTAAAATCTACAATTTGTTGCTAACATTAGCAAGAGAGGAACTTCAACACAAAGGTTGCTAATGAACATCAGTTAGTGTTTCAATAAATTGTGAACAGTTGCGAGCACAGTCTTCATAAATTGTTTCTTCTAAAAAACTGAGAAGTTAGGATCGATTTTGCTTTGATAGTAATTCTTACAAATGTTACAACTTTCATTTCCAAACCAGGCTTCAACAAAAAATATGATCTGAAGAACAGATCAAAATACTTCCAATGCAGCATTTTTCATAAAACTTCAAGACTTAAATATATGATCTTGGTGAAATAAAAAAAAAACTCTTTTACAAACCACTACAAAAAGGGGGATAAACTGTCTGGCATATATGTTTGGGAAATACAAAATCCATACTGAATTTTAAAACTAGTATGAAAACCACTTCACACTTACAAGCAAAGAATGAATGTTACCAAAGTATGTACAATGACGGCAGCTTCTTTGCTTTGGTCAAAGGTTTCTGCCTTCTTGCTTTCTCTCTTTGGACATTTATATAGGCAGTAAAGAACATTCTTCATAAATAGTATACGATATTCTGCACTAAATATCAACCCTTTGCCTAATGGCATGAACACACATGCCGTGTCCAATCTTGGGTTATCAATTTTGTTTACTCACAGACAGTTCCACACGTGCTTGTCATCAACGAACTCTGAGTTATGATCGATTGATAATAAAGATTGATAAATGATGAATGATAATGATGGAACTGGAGAGGTTTTGTATGCTTGATAATTAGTTCCTTGGTGACCAAGTAATTGTGGAGCCATAACAATCAATTAGTATCGTATTTGTGAGATGTTCTAACGATTCAATCAAGTCAGAGGCTTTATCACAAATGAGACTTCATGCCCTATATTTAGTATCGTAGACTTGGATTTGCCAGCCATTTTTTTTTGTCATGGCAGGAATCCTAATACAATATCTTGGATACTTTCTAGATTTCCGCTATAAATACAGAAATTCCATGGTTTATAAGAAATGTTACATTGGAGGTACTTTGATACTCTTCACTTTGAATGACATATCTATATAGAAAATTATGTGCAAGATTCATGTTGAACATATTGTAAATGGAACAACAACAATACCCTGAAGAAGCAATGTAGCATAAAGGCCTTCTGCATATTTTTGTGTAATCTTTTTCTTTCCTTCATTGTTTTATTACAAGAATAATTACTTACAAATTTAGGACAATTACAACATCATTCTCAGTTATTAGAAACAATATGAAACAAATTATTTACTTGCTAATTTGTTGATTTACAAATGTTACTTATTCAATGTTTATACCAGTAACTATTCAAAATTTTGTTGGAACATGAACATCAGCATTATATATTTTTGGAGTGATGATGCCATGGCATCTTTCTTTTCACTTTTAGCCCTTCGCATCTACCAAAATCTAAAATAAATGGCATCTCAGCCTTTGCTTCTGTTGCTATCTCAGGTCAGTCCAGACTAGATGCAGTGAGAAATGGTTGCCGTGTGAGAGCTATCATAAGCATTCAAAGTGTAATATTAGCCTCCTAGGTTTTTAAGTCTTGACCAGATACCAATTAATGATATTTAGATGCATAAGCTGTTAACCCCTATGATCCAGATAATGTGACCATTATATCAAAAAAATTTGGTTTGAGGAATGGGTGAACTGAATACATGGCTGAGGGACAGGGTGACAGGACCTTGTCGCCATGAGAATTTCAGATGAAGGCTGAGGTGCTGGGAATGACTCGCTATGACTGCACAAACCTCTTGGAGGGTGATTAGACTCAGTGGGCATTTAGGAAGGTGCTTTTGCATTATTTCCATCAATAAACAAGTGTGGAATGCAATGTCATGAGCCATGACTGGATCCTACTCCTGCCTGCTTTGACAGAAGGGCACAGGTTTTATTACAGAAAACTGAATATTGCAAAAGAAAAATAAATAAATAAAAATGACACAAATAACAAAATGTTACTTCTTGTTATCATTATTGCACTGAATTATGGGCTACCTAGAGAGATGATATGGAAAACAGTCTATACTGCCTGGATAAAGCAAATCAGATGACAAATATAGACATTGGAAAATGGCAAAAAAGCTAAAAATGCTTATGCAGAAAGAGAAAATAAAATTCCAAAGGGGAGGCAAGGAGTCTTGTCACCACACACAAGTGTTCATATGCACCCAGCCTACACATGGCTGCTTACGTAAGCCTAATGCCTGTAATTTGGGCAATATGTGGACAGTGAAGTATCCAGATCCAAGGGGTTAATACAGTAGAGCCCTGCATTTGGCAAAATCACATTTGGCAATCACTGGCTACCGAAAATAACTTCTGGCGACCATATTATTGCCAAGGACTGTAGATGATCTCACACAGAACAAAGAGCCAGGTATCACTCCAGTCCAGCCAGTGTTGATAAATGGATATTCGCAAATGAGTATGAGGGAGCAGGGGATAAAGGTGAACATAAAAGTGAAAAGAAGCAGCATGAGTATTGCAGGGGAAAGAAGTTTACATGGTATATAACACAAGACAAAGCAAAGGTGATTGAAAGGCAGTGCATTGAGCCATTGTTGCCAATAATCTCTTTCTCATCCGTCTTTGCTGATAAACAATGAAAAGAGGTATTTTTCAGTATCAGACCAGCAAAACTGTAGAAACTCTGTTGCTCCCAGAAGCAATCACATTATTTCCACTAGTTTAATCTTTACATTTGCTGGATTTTTTAGTACAAAGTATTTACCAAATGTGAAGCTTTTGTGTATATAAAATTCAGCTGTGAATTACATATTGATACTTCAAGTTCATTTGGAATTAAGGTGTCCTTGAAATCATGGTAGAAATATTCAAATGGCTACAAATAACAGTCAAAGGACTATATATAGTTCAATTTCTTTACTAATGAAATGCAAATTTCTGTTTATGGCCGCTATCCCTGGATTTCAAGCTCATTAATGATTTTATAAAATGTGCTTTAAAAAAGGATTAGGGGAGCCATCAGAGAAAATCTTTGTCTTTGCTGTTCCTACTATCATTTTGACCTCATGATCCCCAGGTCAAGACATAAAAGAAGGTGAAAACAGGGGGGGGGGGGGGGGGAACTTTTCTAGTTCCCTGGAAACATACAATAAAGAATTGGGAAAATTTGGGAAGACAGGAAGATGGGGGGGGGGGGTGGACTGGATAGAGGGAGAGGCAGAAGGACAGGGAAGGGAGAGAGGGAGGAAGGAGGAGAGAGAGGGAGTGGGAGGAGAGAGAGGGAGTGGGAGTGAGAGAGAGGAGTGGGAGTGAGAGAGAGGAGTGGGAGGGAGAGAGAGGGGGGAGGGGAGAGAGGAGGGGAGGGGAGAGAGGGAGGGGAGGGGGAGAGAGAGGGGAAGGGGGAGAGAGAGGAGAGAGGGGAGAGGAGAGGGAGAGGGAGAGAGAGGGAGGGGAGAGAGAGGGGAGAGAGAGGAGAAGAGGGAGAGAGAGGGAGGGAGAGGGAGAGAGAGAGAGGAGAGAGGGGGAGAGAGGAGAGAGAGAGAGGAGAGAGAGAGGAGAGGGGAGGGAGAGGGGAGAGGGAGAGGGGAGGGAGAGAGAGGGAGAGGAGAGGGAGAGGGAGAGAGAGAGATGAGGGAGAGGGAGAGGGAGAGGGAGAGAGAAGAAGAGAGAGAGAGAGAGAGAGAGAGAGAGAGAGAGAGAGAGAGAGAGAGAGAGAGAGAGAGAGAGAGAGAGAGAATGTGAAAACTTATCACAAAAAGATTTCATTTGTATATATAGTATTCAAATAATCTTTTACAGCACTCAATTCAATAATCACTTTTGACTTTGTCAAAAAATATATGGTGGTTTGACTGTACAGTCTTCAGAAAAAAAATAATAACAAGTATTGGTCACTCTGGCATACATACATAAACAAAAAACAACTCTCATTCACTCAGTGATGGCTACTAACCCTGATCCGACAAGAAAGGGTTTGATTACCATGACGTACTTTCTTTGTGAAAATGAGGAAAAAGTTCTAAACATCAAACCCTAAAATGCAGAGCAA